ACTAGGTTTTATTATGAGTTGTGTGCGAAGAATCAAAAGCGTAAAATCTTTTTAGTTCCATAGACAGAGGTATAAGTTAAGATTTTTATTATTTTTAGGAGGAAACGTTTTTTCTGCAAATGTATTTCTGAAATGATGACAGAAGCCAGTGGAAGAGATTTTGCTATAAAATATGTGCTTTGCTTCAGCTTTTCAGAGATCTCTCTAAAATACAAAGCAAGGTCAAATGAGGCCTGCAGAGACATGGCGAGGACAAGCTGGGATGGCTTGCACAACTGAATGCCCTGATAAAACACGGCATCCTGACCAGAGGATGGATGTCTACATCTGCACTTAGTGGTTGGCACTGGGGTTCATGCACCACATGGTCACCCTGTTGTCATCCTCCACACAAGCCCAGCAAGATAACAGAAGGGAACCATGCTCCTGCAACCAGCCTGCAGGCCAAGCACACATCACCCTACCATGACCTGGTCTTTCCCTCCAAAGAGACCCTGCCCCTCTCCACTGGCTCCTGTTACATGGTCTATACTTCACGCTCTGCCTCAGAGTGCCAAAAGCCCACCACTCTGGACATAATAAGAAGCCAAGGCAGGATCTAAATACCAGGAGGAACACAGCCGGTTTGGGACAGATGTTGAGGAACAAACCTGCATGATCCCTAGAGATTATCTAATGCAGTTGTTTTCCAGAACTTTTTAAAAACCGTGAGACTGTTTTCCCCAATGAGCTTGTGTGAGGAAATTAGAATCAGTATAGTCAGGCCCCCTCGCCTCATATCCGGCTGGGTATGATTCAGCACATCCGATGTAAACAAGTTAGGTACGACTGGTGTAACTGTGCATGCGTGCCTATATACTTCTTGACTCAGTGCCATTGTTGTGTATCTTTTGGTATAAAGGGCGGTGGCTCTGAACTGTGGGCCAGCAGAGTTCACATCGAAGTAAAGCATGTCTATCTGTTATCGGCCACCAGAATCTTTGTTCAACTACCTCACTCACAACCTGCACACGATGGGGCAGAGGGGTCTGTGATCCAGCCTGACAGCTTGTATGTAGAAACTCAGTATGTAACACAGGCAGAAAATAACCTGATACGTCTGTACAATGGAATATGATTTGGGAAACAAAGCACTGACACATGCTACAACATGGAAGAACCTCAAAAACATCACGCTATGTGAAAGAAACCAGGCACAAAGGGCCACATATTATATGATTCCACTTAATGAAATGTCCAAAAGAGGCAACTCTCTAGAGACAGAAAGCAGACTGGTGGTTGCCTGGGACTTGGGGGATACCGGGACTGGGAGGAGGTGGCTAAGAGGTGTGGTGCTTCTTTCTGGAGTGATGAAAATGTTCTAAAATTGATTGTGGCATTGGTTGCACGAATCCGTGAACATGCTGAAAGCCACTGAATTGTACACTTTAAATGAATAAAATCTGTGGTATGTGAATTTTATCTCAATAAAGCCATTTTTTAAAAAAGAAGAAGAAAAAGGGGCTCTCTCATGACTCCACTGGCAGGACCTTCGTCCGTAAAATCTGTGGTATGTGAATTTTATCTCAATAAAGCCGTTTTTTAAAAAAGAAGAAGAAAAAGGGGCTCTCTCATGACTCCACTGGCAGGACCTTCGTCCTCACCCTACTCCTATAGTGGCCTCAAAGCCACCCCTCAGATCCCTAGGACTCTGTGGAATGCTCATCAGAAAACCCTGATCTAGTCCAAGTTTCCACTCCTCAAACGTAAACCAAGACATGAACTCACATCTTTTGATTCCAAGTGCAAGGCCCCCGTACCCTGGCTTCAGTGGGGGGACGGCTGTGGCCCTTACCGTCCATGTCCAGGCGCTGCATGATGATGGCCAACTCCACCTCGCTCGGCATGTAGCCCAGGGAGCGCATGGCCATGCCCAGCTCCTGCTTGGAGATGAAGCCGTTCCCATCTCGGTCCAGAACCCGAAAGGCCTCTCGGATTTCTACAAGGGAGAGCAAAGAAAGCCCAATGGTCACATGGCTGGTTTACTCCACTGAAATTATGGGCGATTGTCTACTGGTGACTCCTAACTGCTTTACAAGTAATGATATATTAAAACCCTTTAATAGGATAAAAGAGAGGCCAAAGGAGAACAAAAGAAAAGAAATGAGAAAGAGAAGAAAGAAAATGATAGGAAACAGAGGGGAGGGGATGGGGAAAAGAAAGGAGGTAGCTGGCCCTGAGCATGCTGAGACACCATAGCAGGCACATGGCGAGACAGTGGTCCTGGTGGATAATCATGTTAACCAAGGACACCTTCTGAGCAAGAATGAGGATTAGGTTTCAGCTGCAAGGAGAAAACTGCCTCTTAACTGCAGCCCCTAGGAAGAAAGGATAATGGGATTCCCCTTTGCAGACACATTTCAGATCCCTGCTGCTGCACAGAAAGCTTTTTCAACCTCCAAGGACAGGAGTTAACTATCACACAGTTTTTATTTCATTCCTCTAATTTACAGGTGTTTATGGCTATAAACAACCTCAGATCAATAACAGTGTCAGGAAAGCTCAAAAGTTGTCTTTAATCACTTTCCCTCGGGGCTGGCAGAGAACTTGGCTCTGCCATCAATAAGGCACATTCCCCCAGCAGGTGACCCGCCATCCTCCTGCCTGCCCCATGCCAGAGTTGCTCTGAATTCCACCCAGAGTCCCTTCCTCCAGAGCCCCCCGCAGCTGCTAGCCTGACCTGACTAAGAATTTCCAAACACATCACACCCCTTCAACACATGACTCGGGGAAACTGAAGATGAGAGGTTTGCCAATCATCTCTGAGAAGCTTTGACTCTTTATCAATAAATCCAGTGTAAGCCCAGGTAGGGTGGCTGCCAACATCTCCCATGCCATTTGACAAGCATTGATTACCTATGATGTGAGGAGCATGGTATTAATACCACAGGGAAATAAAAATGATCCACTAGGCATCATGGTTCTCCTCCACAGCCCCATACTCCAACCAGGATGGCAAGTTACATGCAGAAACGTGCTGTCTAACCCATTTACTCATCACCTGTCAAAATATCTGCCTGTGCTTCTGACCTGTGACACACTCTTTATCAAACAGGCTTTTCTCTTTCCTCTTTGTATTAGTCACCTGTGGCTGCTGTAACAGAAACCTATTCTCCCACAGTCTGGAGACCAGAAGTTCAAAATCAGTATCACTAGATTGATATCAAGGTGTCAGCAGAATGAGGTCTCTCTGGAGACTCCCAGGGGAATCCACTCTTTGCCTCTTCCAGCTTCTCGTGGCTGCCAGCATCCTTTGGCTTGTGGCCCCATCACTCCGATCTCCACCTTCTCCCCTCTAATCTCCCTCTCCTAAGAACACTCATATTTGCATTTAGGGCCCACCCAGATTGTCCAGGATAATCTCCCCAACTCAAGATCCTTAACTCAATCATATCTTCAAAGATCTTTTTCCAAGGTAACATTTACAGGATCCAGGCATGAGGACTCAAAATCTTTGGGGGCTGTTTTTACTACACCATCCCATCCAACACTTCCACCTGAAACACCTTCCTTTCCTTCTTCTCTGCGAAGATCAAACCCATCCTTCAAAGCCAAGTCAGGGGCCACATATTCCTCAACAATGTCTTGGCTCACCACAGCCAACTTCTCTCCCTTTCTGCCAACCACTGAGCAGGTCGTTTGTTGCTTTCACATGACATCTGGCACGCCCCATCTAGAAACACCACAATCGCACAGAAACCATGGCTTTTCCTTTGAGCTTTGAGCCCTGCAGCCTCTTCCTCCATCTTTGTACAGACAGTCCCTGACAACTCTATTTGTCAACTTTACGATGGTGTGAAAGTGATGATGCATTCGTAGAAGCTGTACTTCAAGTGCCCACATAACCATTCTGTGTTTCACTTTCAGTACGGTATTCAGTAAATTACATGGGATATTCAACACTTTATTCCAAAATAGGCTTTGTGTTAGATGAATTTGACCAACTGTAGGCTGACATATCTTAGCACCTTTGAGGTGGGCTGCGCTCAGCTATGACATTCTGTAGGTTACATGTGTTAAGTGCATTTTCAATTTACGAAGTGTTTATCAGGACAGACCCCATCGCACGTGGAGGAGCCTCTGTGTGTTCTCCGCCCTCACTCTGCAGGAGGCCCTAGATAGAGCTACTCAGCGAATGGTGAGTCTGAGCAGATAAAGATCCCGTATGAGTAGTAAATCCATTATCAGTACTACAACTGCACGCTGATGCTTTCCGTGAGTAATGTGGCTTCCAGCAGACAGAAGAGCAGCCCGCGAGCTGGGACCCTAGACTCCCGGCCAGCCATAATAGCTAATTAGGTCTGTGGCCAGATCCGGAGTCCTCAGTTTGTTCATGTGTGAAATGAGCCAGGTTGGCCATGAGGATCCCTTGGGCCCTCCCAGCCTCCTCCCGTGGGTCCATGGACATTGATAAAATGCTTAAGAACAGGAAAGCTGTATTCTCTTCCCTACCCTATTAATCTGCTGCTCAACCCCCTCTTTCTTTTCATCAGCGGTATAGAAACAACGTTTAGTCCAGCCCACATTCTGAGTCGAGGAGTTGGTCTGCATTTTGAAGTGTTTCCCATCAGCAAAACATGCTCAAGTTCGCCTAAAGCAGCCATAAGTTTTCCTGCCACATTTTGGGTGGCCTGGAAAGAGCTTAGAGCTGCTTAGCCTGAGGTTATGGAACAGTGTTCAAGGGGACTGGAGCGGAGACCGCGGCATCATGTGGCCTGAGCCCAGACCCCCAGATACTGAGGACAGGAGGATGCAGAGGCAGCTGGGTGGCCTGGAAAGAGCTTAGAGCTGCTTAGCCTGAGGTTATGGAACAGTGTTCAAGGGGACTGGAGCGGAGACTGCGGCATCATGTGGCCTGAGCCCAGACCCCCAGATACTGAGGACAGGAGGATGCAGAGGCAGGGACTCCTGATGTGGGAGTCAGCCTGCAATGCAGCTGGCCCCAGTTTTGCCCTGCCACCTGGGGCAGGCTCCCCTCAGCCTCAATTTCCCCATCTGAAAAATGGGTTGGGTTGGATCTGTTTCCAGCCTCTGCTGCAAGGTTTTACATTGAGGCCTGGAACATATGTGCCATGGTAGGAATGTCAGGTGGCGGCAGTATCCACGGCTGGGGTCCCTGGAAAGCATGTGCAGCCTGCGCCCTGGCATGCATTCTTTGGACTCCCCCTTCCCAAAGCATCACCTCCACTCCCATCCTTTCTAACTCAGTCCTGAACCCTCTAGGCTGCTGATATGACTGGACAGGGTAGTACCCTTCTGTTGACAGGGACCTGCCTTGCTCTTATGGTCTCCCTGAGTGCCCTAGATCTCACCAGTGAACTTCAGCTTTTTCCTCACACTGGAGACCCAGAGTGCCCTGGCTTGGGGTGTTTGAGAAGCTGGCCTGCAAATGAGGGCCTTGGCAGCTGTGTCCTCTGACCTCCACTCAGCTGCTCAGGCTACAGCCAGAGTTGCCTCACCCTTGGGCTGCTGAATTTGGCCAGTCAGACCTCAGACAGGGGCACTCCAGAATTGCCCTGCTGTGAAGGGACCTGCTCCTTCGAGGCCTCGAGTGCCTACAGTCTGTAGCATGTAACCAGGCCAGCCCTCCTCTGGCCCGGCCCAGGACAGGGCAGGCACATATCAGCTCAGGACTCTGTATCCTGGGGCCTGCAGGTAAGTAGTACAAAGCCATCCTGCTCTGTTTCCATAGAATATCTGCTCCTGGTTCCCAGGTACAGAATTTGTGCGTGTGTGTCGACAGAAACAGACAAAGCTCACTAACATCATTTTCTTTCAAAATAGCAGAGAGGAAAAAAATGTATCAAACTAGAAATCCACAATGGGAACTTCTGGAGATTTAATCTTTCCAAGGTAAGGAAAGCCCAGGCAAACCAGAGGCTTATTGGGAGGAAATTGATCTTGCAGTCTGGAAGAGACATGTGATCTATGCCTCATTTTATTTTTTAATAGCAGAACACGGTGTGAGAAATATGCTCATAAAACCAGTGGGGACATTGGAGCAGGCAGGATCCCTCTGCCTCTGGCTGTAGAAGGATGGTTCACAGCACAAGTGGGCTCTGGCCACTGTTCCATCCTTGCGAAGTGGAGACCACAGATGGAATTTTCAGGAACAACCCAGTAATGTGTTTTTCACTAGAAAATATTCCTCTTTGGTCTAAAGTCCCTCGTGCTTCAGAGTTATGTGAGCGTGCTGTGCTTTTGGTCTTGAACTTACTTTCACTCCTCAAGCTAACGCAACATGTGCCCGTTAGGACCAGTCTGGCAAGTCCACCACCTCCAAGATGCCTTCATGGGTCAAAGAAGGGGCATCTGTCCCGGTGATAGGAGCCTGTCCAACTGCCATTGTGAGAACATAAAAGAAGACATGGCAAGACATCTTCTGAAAGATGGATTCCAGTCACTGCACGTGGAATTCCTGCATAGGGAATCTGCATGTGGATCTGCCTGGAATCAAAGTCTGCATTCCCACAGGGATCTGGGCCTCTCCTCCCTGGAGTGGTGCAGATGGTCTTGGGCCAAGCGAGGCCCTGGGTAGAAATAATACTGGTCTGGAGCCCAAGATTTAGTTTTCATAATGCCAGCAACTCTTTTTTTTCTTAAAAAAATATCTGCACCTACCACTGGTACCACCTGCATCTGGACCCAGCGCTCTCTGAGAACCAGGCCTCAGCTCCACAATGCTTCCTAAGGACACAGACCATCTAGGCAGGAATGATGGCAAGGGCGTGGCTAAGGCAGGGAGCAGACTCATTTCTCAGGCATCAGATGAAGTCCAGACACCAGCCAGAGTCAATATTAGTTGGTTAATGTTCTGAAGAATCAGCTAAAATTTACAGTACTAATTTGCAAGCTCAAATTAGTAACGATGAACAACTTTTCCTATCTCAATCCCTGTTTGATACAGAATCTGTTTATTCTCTACGGAAACGTATCTTTAGGAAGAATATGCATTTTAACTGCACAAAGTGATAGCT